AAAAATGCGGTGGAAGGTCATAGTGAAAATAAGGTTGGTTTGAGTGTAGAGAGTTTGGTGGATGATGAACAGGGGGGTTGTTTAAATGGGAGTGAGATTGAGATCGATCGTTTTAAAATGGAAATTGATCAGTTATTCTTAGATAAACAAAGCGTGGATCCTGAGGCAGTTTCTGAAATGCCACGTGGCATCAGATCTGTGATGGATTCGCCCTATAAGGATGACCTGATCGAGAATAACGACAAACGTGATTCTCCTGCCCAACAAGTTACGAAAGCGACAATTAATGTCTTAACCGGGATAGAGAATGACACGTGTGAACAATCATTGCCTTCAAAGATCCACAAAATGCCATTTGAGTCGACATTTAGGGCTGCTTTACCAACAGATTCTGTTCAATGTTACAAGCAGAAGGATTATAACAATGGTTTATCTGAGAAGGGGGTTCTAAGCGATGTGAAAGAGAAAGTTAATCTTCTGACTGAGTTTGACAAGGATAACTCCTGCCAACTGTTGCCATCACAAGGCCGTGAAATGGCCCAAGAATTGACCTCAGTGGATAAGTCATCAAGAAATTATGACAGTCAGTATGATATGAGCAACAGATATTCCGTTATGAACGGGGTGCTATATATGGTTTCGAAAGAGGAAATGAACGTTCCAGGCAGGATGCACCGCATCTTAGAATGCGAGGATGATGCTCTGTGCAAGGTTGAAGCTGATAAGTGCAATAGGACATCGTTTTCACAGGGTGGTGAAATGCCTCCAAAATCATCATATATGGGTGAGGTCATGAGCAATCTTGACCTTCAAGATCATGAGAAGGCGGACAAGAATGTCAGTGTCCTCACTGCAGACAATTTTATGGACCCTGTGGAAACGAAGAGTAACATTGGTACGCTCATTCAAGAGGTGCCTTCAAATACATCCTTGAGGGATTTTGAGAAGTTGCATTGTGCTGATTTGGCAAGTAACTCTTCCCAGAAGACTATGCAAAGTGATAATAAATATGTTGATGGTCTCTCTACACAGAGCTTTACAGAGGTTTTGCAAGACAAAAATAACGATAACAACAATCAAAGGGCTGAAACTTGCATGCAGATGCTACCTACAGAGGAAAATGCTTCTACTTCACTGGAGGTATCTTTGGACAGTGGCTCCTCATTGAAGCTGGATGGTCCAGATATTTTTGGAAAGGATGTTATGGGTTTTGTAAGTTCTTGCAGTACAGGTGACTGCTTTGAGTTGACAGGCACTGAAAGGAAACATAATGCTACAGTTGATCATCTCTCCGAAACTAAATGTCCTGATGCTGTCTTTTCGTATTCTCGGAGAAGCAGTCGGGTAAGCAAATTAAGCCAGAACGCTCAGACAAAAAGGAGTCTCAAGCATTGTGGAAGAGTAACAAAAGTGCAGCACTCAAAAGAAAGTTCTGATTTTATCTTCAATGCTCCAAGACAGCAGAGGAGCTCTGTCTCCAGAACAGCTCGTTCGTATAATTGGGGGCTATTGGAGAATATTACACAAGTTTTCTGTCAGAGTAATGAACTTGTATCCAATCAAGTTCAAAACCAAGCAGCAAAGAAGTCTTGCAGTCGCAAAGGTTGTAGAAGGCAGAATAAGAATCGGGCAAGTGGAAGTTTGCAGAGGTCAAGCGAAAAAATTTTTGTGTCAGGTAGTTGCCTCCGTTTTAAGGTCAAAGTGGGAAAAGAAGCTGGTCTAAGTACCCTCAATATTAAATTTCCACATGTGCTTGAAAACTCATCATCATTTAATGCCTCTGTTGAGGGAGGTTCAACTTGGAATTTCTGGCGAGGCCGTGAAAGTGGAGACTTGTCTTGAAGCTAAAATATCTTGCAGTACAGGTGTTGATAGACATTCCACAGAATCGAAGAGTTCCAGAGATTTCTTTTCTTGTGATGAATCCAAGGGATTCTCTTCCAGTAAATCCAAGGGTCATTGCCTTTCTAAAAGTTTAAAATCTACAAAGAGTCAAAGAGGAACTGTTTCGGGAGAGAAAGTATACCAGCGAAAATCAATTACTAAGAGCAAAGTCAAGGAGAAGGATGCATGTTACCAAGCCATGGACAGAGTTGGATGTGATGCAGAGACAGGTATGGGAATCCCCTTCACAACCACCCTCCTGGACAGAAAACAGGAAAGAATTTTTTTTTTTCAAATTTTGTAATCCTTTTCTTTTTTAATCTGTCAGTGTATTTGAGCTTGGGAAACCTGGTGAATCATCTTTTCTGATTCCACAAGTTGTGTTGTAGGTTGTTACCTATCAGGTGATACTGGAAAATATAATACATGCAGCATAGTCACCTCTGAAGATGTAGCCAATCTGAATATAGTATCAGGTGGTGCAGACGAGCAACATAATACCTCTGATAGTGCTTGGGTTCGGTGTGATGATTGTCACAAATGGCGGCGGATTACTGTTTCCCTTGCAAAGATAATTGATGGGAAATGTCGATGGTACAGTATCTTCCTATATCTTATTTGTTATCACAAATATGCCTTGTGTAAAAGCTGTTGGATAACTTGTTTAAGCAGATTTTATTCCATATTCATTTGTGCAACTTTGATATGATGGGGAAAATAGTCATATCCATATGACTATGGGCTTGGCATTATGATACCACTTTGATGATAAGAGTTATTTTTATGTGATCTGCATTTCTCTTTATGTCTATCTTCTGTTTGTATCAAATCATACAATGTTGGTGTTCTTCTTGTTCTGTTCTCTGGTTTTAACGGTCAAATTTGCATGGTTGTTGACGCAATGATGGGTTCCATCACATCCAAAAGAAATAGGGAAGAGAAGAGATCTTCTCCTATATCTGCCCTCTCCCCTTGTCATGTTTTTATCTTTTACTTTATGAAGGCTTGCCTTGCTTCTATTACCAATCACCTAAGATTATGGTAGTATAAAAATTTCCTTCTTGAATGTAAATGTATTGCCTTTAATCAAAAATATTTTTGTGATTTTCTCAAAGGATCTGTGAGGATAACTTGGATAAAGCTTTTGCTGGTTGCTCAATCCCCCAAGAGAAGTCTAATGCAGACATTAATTATGAGTTGGGCATATCAGATGCTGACGAAGATGCATATGATGCTCATTTGAATCACAAAGGGGTGCAGAAGGGATTGGAATATGGGCTCTTACCAGGTAGATGGTATTTGTTAGGAACATCTCTTTTTGTTAGAAACAGTTGATTGAATTCAACCTTCAAATTGATTGGCTTACTAAGGGTGCTTCCATTCTCCAAGCTCTGATGCAGTATTTCTGTCTTTAATGCATCGCAGTTCCACAAAAGGCAAGGTTTAAGGGTATTAATAGCAATCAGTTTCTTCACCGTAGCCGTAGAAAGCAAACCATTGATGAGGTGTAATTTCATTTTAAGCTTTACTATGGTATTATAAGCTTGGTATGCATTACACTTGCCATCATTGTAATATTGCAAATTTATTAAATAGCAATGGGGTTATTGGCCGATGCATTTTCTTTTCAAAATTTAAAGAAAAAGAGAAAATAGAAGGTAGACAAAATTCACATAGAGTCCATTCTACGAATGTGTAGGCCACAACTTGTCAATTGAGACAGTATTTTAATGATGTTAGGAAGCTTTGATAGTTTTTTGTTAATTAAAAAACAAACCTCATTCACAAGGCACAAATGAGGGAGGGGCTTTCACCAATATCATTGTTATTAAGGGAACTGGGTGTTTTTACTCTTATCTTTCCATTTTTTCGCATAAAGTTGTGTTTCATAGTTTCACTATGTTTCTCTACAGTGTTTTATACGCATCTTGTTAATGTTGTTTTCATTTGTGAAGAAATTTTGTTTGTGGCTACATCAATTTAGGAATTGACATTCAATCATGGTTGATAAGCAGATAATGGTTTGCCATTGCAAACCACCACCTGATGGTGGTTTGGGTTGCGGAGATGAGTGCCTGAATCGGATACTTAACATTGAATGTGTTAAAGACACCTGCCCATGTGGTGATATTTGTTCAAATCAGCAGGTACATTAAATATATTTCCTGTGGTATTTCTTGTAAATGCTAAGTTTATTTTTTTGGAAAAAAATGTGTTTACATTGCTGTTTGCAGTTCCAGCAGCGGAAATATCCAAAAATGGAGTGGTTCAAAACTGGTAAGAAGGGTTACGGGCTGAGGGTGCTTGAGGATATATGTAGAGGACAGTTCCTTATTGAATATGTAGGAGAGGTAAGTTGATGCCTGACAATCAAGCATAGTCTTTTCTTATACGCGATTACTACCATGATTATTATATTTCTGCACATCTTTCTTTTAGTTTAATGGTTGGTTATGGTTTTATTTCTTATTTAGTTAGTAGTCTTATTTTGTTGTTGTTTTCCTATTTAAGGATTCTAGTCATCGCACACACCCTATGAAAGACTACTTATGAATAAAATGCATTATCTCTCATTGAATGAGTGTGCCTGATAGTCCTGTGATTGTGGTTGTGACAACCCTTTGATTGTGGTTGTTGTTCCCAATTCTTGTGATTGTGGATTGGATTGATTTTTTTTCTCTAATTTTCCTGTCATTTAAAACCATATTCTTCTGTATCACATCCTAAGTTTATTCTGCTGTATCACATCCTAAGTTAGACCATCAGTTTCTATATTTTACTTTGAAGTCAAAGGTGAAAATAATTCTTAGAATTTTGAGAGGATTCAGTGCCAAACATTTACTTTCTTTCTTCTACTGAAGTTAGAATTATGAAAATCAAGATTTCAATCTGTTAAAGATAAGTGATGGAATTTATCTCGTAGTGGCATGATTGTTATGGTGGATATGCACTTTCAATATCTATGTATGCATAACTTTAATAGGAATCCTTTTTCTTTTTTTGTAGAAGAAATAACCTGTAATGAGTAATAAAAATAAGTATGGTGTTGTAGCTTAAAAGAAAAGCCTACCGTGTCTCATTTTTAGAAATGTTAAGAGAATGAATAATTGGGTGCCTAGTCTTATGCTCTTAGAATTTTTTGTTTTTCTTCAATTAAATTTAGAATTTCCATTGTGGAGGATTTAACTCTATTAAAGAATTATTTTCATTATAAAAAAATTTTATTTTCAAGAATTATGCTGTTGTTGTGTGATTTTCTTCTTTATCCACATGTATCTGTGTTTCTTTTTTCCCCAACAAAAAATGATGCACGCAGATATACTAATTATGAGAAATCAAAATAAGCCTGGCAAAAATCTAGTTAGTATTACACCTCTTTAACATATTCTGTTGGATTTGCTCCTAATACTCATCATGCAAACAAATGTTTTTTTAAAAAAAATAAATGCAAACAAATGCTGCAGGGAGCAGGATAGTGTTTCTTTTATCAGAACTTTTGTCTTTACTGTACTGATACTCTAAAACCTTAGAGTGCTTTATGGCTGAAGCGAAGTGCAATTTATTTCTTACAATCTCCATTTTTAGGTGAGATGTTGGGCTGAGGAAGACAAGAGATTTTGTTGTGGGCCTACCAAAATATAGTTCCTTTTTTGTGTGTAACTTTTTAGACATATGTTGCACATAAGTCGATGATTAAAAAGAATACCTGATTCAAAATATGGCCACATCAGGATGATGAGAACTTATATATTATTTTCCTGTGTAACTGATGTAAATCCACATGTGTACATTGATAGCACCCCCTTGGCACATTGTGGATAAGACATTTCCTTTGTTACTTTTTTTTTTTTAAAAAAAAAACAGGTCCTTGATATGCAAGCTTATGAGGCAAGACAAAAGGAGTATGCTGCTAAGGGTGAGAAGCATTTTTACTTCATGACATTGAATGGCAGTGAGGTTTGTATACTTCCTTGCTTTTTTTTTTTCATTTTAACTTGAGTGGTCTTCTTTTGTTTGTGTGTGTATTTTATGAATTCAATCTGTAACAAGTAATATATAGTGGTTTAGCACCATTTGATATCTGGTATATAAAAATTTTATACAGTGTGTGGACTTTTTAAGGACAATTTTCTGGGCATCTTCCATTTAGTATTAGTAGATTTTGAGGTCTCTTAGAAAAGTGTTTTAAACTTCTTTCACTTATAAAGTTCTGCTATAAAGGTTATAGAAGTAATAGTTAGAGCTATATTCTCTAGTAAATATGTATATCTGGAGGAAATATTAGAAGGACCTAGAGAGAGAATGAGAGAGAGAATCCTAGAGAAAGAAAGAGAGAAATCACGAGCTTTCTAGATGCCTCGCCAGAAAGCAAGGACTTCCATGGCGAGTTCCATAGCCATGAAATTCGTGGTTGTGGAAAGGGAAGTCCTTTGACTTTGTGATAAGGGAAGGAAGGTGGAGGGACTAAAAGTGTGCTGGAACGGGAATGGTTTTCATGTCTCCATCATCTTCTGGGCTGAGGAGGTAGAATGGCTGGTGAACAGCCTTATATTGGGAATAAGGAAGAGGTTCCTGGGTAGGAGCATGTTAGGGTCCAAGCACTCACTGTGGGTGGCTCGGGGGGAGACCAGGAGTGGAAAGTTCCTAGTCCTTACAGAGAAGAGAGACGATAGGAGGAGGATTATTATTCCTGATAGTCCCCAGGTCCAAGGATGTTGTATTGAAAAGCCGCATTTTTTCTCTCTAGTAATATTTTTTCTTTTTTTTAATTGAAAAAACAAGGGAAAGAGAGAGACTATCCAAATTAGGTTTTCCAATCCAAATTTGATATTTGACTTTATAACATGTTTGCTTTAATTTTGCCCTTTGCCATTGTCTCTCACAATTTTTTCTGAAGTTTTAGTATTGTGTTCCTTAGTTTCAACATGTATCTCCTTATTTTGTGCTGCTTTGTTCATTACAATTCAGTATTGCAAGTTTGTTTCAGTATCATCAGTGCATATTAATTTATTTATTATTAACACTTTCAACTCCTTCAGGTAATAGATGCTGGTGCCAAAGGGAATTTTGGGCGTTTTATTAATCATAGTTGTGAACCTAACTGCCGTACTGAAAAGGTGATATTCTTGAAAACATATATTTCTTACAGTTTAAATATTACAATTAGATTTTTGTTTTGTGTTGTTTTTTTTGTCACGTTCTGCTTGACACTCTAGATGACTTCAAATTTTCTCCATGCTCGGATGGAACCATTTTAGGTGGAATTATTTTCTGTTCTTCTTATTCATTCTATATCTTTTTAAAGGATACACCTATTCTATGGGCCTTTTATTGGTTGAACAACAAAATTAAGATAAGTTTTTTTCTGTTGTTTTTCTCCCTTCTACATATGCCTTAAGCAGACTTCTTTCTGTGGGCTCTTCATTTGTTGAAGTACAAAGGTAAGATTATTTGGAGGTGGTTTATGATTATCATTGGTGCCAAAAGCTGATGGTAATCAAGTAGGCGATCATTTTTCATGGCTTGATTTTAATTATCACCTTCGGCTGTCTCAACCATCAAGGATTTTGCTTGATGTGACAACTGTCTTATAATCCACTTAATTTTTATAAAAAATGTGAATGTGAAATAGTTGTTCCAGATCCTTGGTTGTTATGACACTTTCTTGGTTCATCTTTAGGATCTGGGGTAACTATTTCTTTGGGGAATGGGGCCATAGCTATTCCAGTGGTGCATAGCCAAAATTGCTTTCAACCATTTCTTTCAGTTTTGTCCTAAAATAGCTTTCAACCATTTCTTTCAGTTTTGCCCTTGGTTTTTATCAAGGAATATCATATATATATATATATATATATATATATATATCCATGGAGATTACAGTCACCCATGTGCGAAGACCGGCCTATACTGTCATCTTGGTTGATCTCAATCAAATTGAGTCGAATTGCGTAAGTGTTGGGTTTGGTCATTACTAGCCGCAAAATATTTGTTTCAACTGAAGTTGGCCATAGAATGGCTGGTTGGCTGAGAGATGATTAAGTCTGGACATGGAATTGCACCATCTGGATAGCGTTTGCATAACTCCTGCCTGTTATGGTTCAATGGCAGTGGACAAAGCATTAAATGGAGCAGCAGAGAGAGAAGGGGGAAGAGAGAAAAAAAACAAAGTTTACTTTTGTGAAAAGAGCATTTTGATAATTTTTTATGAAACTTGTCATAAAGTTTTCTGATGAATACAAGGGGCAATACTTTGGCTGTCTTCTGGGTTTTCTAGAAAGAGAGAAATGGAAGAGTTTTTGAGGGAAACTTCTCTCCTTTTGATAGAAGTGAATATTTATAGTTTACACCTTGTATAATTTTGTTAAAAGGTCATTCTCTCTTGAGTGGAGATGATTTTAGGAGACCTTGTGGAGAATTTGGTCAGTACAGTTAGACGTCTTTGTGGGTGGTACTTTCAGCATCTTTGTGGGCTAAGGCACACAGTTTCTTGGAAATATGTCTATTCTTATTGAGGCCTGTTCTTCCTCTTTTTGTTTTCTGATTTTCTTTGTTGAATTGTGGCTTATATTCAGGGGATTTTAATATTTAAAAAAAAAGGAGTATTTTGATTTTAAAATAGGCTCCCAACCTTCCCAAAGTGATGATGAATTATCACTATCTCAATGCGCGATTGGTTGGGGTGGTACAGTACAATAATTTTGAGGCAAAAGTTCTGTTTTTTGTTATTTTGTGGAATTTACTTTCTCCTTTTCTCTATATGTAGGAAGAATTTTAGTTGTAAGATGCAGTTCTTCGTATGGTAAAAGATCAGACAGGTGGCACTATGGAGTAGGCACATCACTGGGCCATGTTAATGTTCTTTGTTTCCTTTCTTTCTCAACAATTTTACCTTAATCTGTGTGCTTTGCATTGGTTATTTCATGACATTGTTTTTGTTCTTCTCATATGTGACCTTTCTCTTTTTGTAATTTCTTCTTGCCTTCTTAATAATATTTCTTCTTTTTATCAAAAGATAGGAAAGGCAAACAGAAGAGTAACAGTACATAGAAATAATTCATTTAATTCATTTATTTGTTAATGTAGTTATGACGCTTTCTAAATGTGCCAATTTGCTTAAGCTTCGATTTCCTGGAAGTTTAACTTCTCTCCTCTTTTATAAACTACAAAATTTTGCATTTTGTGGTGCAGTGGATGGTGAATGGAGAAATTTGTATAGGGATATTTGCACTAAAAGATATCAAAAAGGTATGCTTGCATGTTGTGTAAGAGCGAAATATTATTTTCATTTCTTTATTTTATGCTGATACTTAATTATTTGAGTTGAACTAATTATATATTGATAATAATTTTGGAATATATATTATTTGACAAAGTAAAATCATAAACATATTGGTTATTAGTTACTTAAGAGGTAATTTGGCCTATAGTGGAGGATCGAGGAAGGAATAGAAAAGGCAACAAAACATTGTAATTTGTAAGGATATGTGTTAGAATTTACAAATTGGTAAGAGGTAATTTGGTCATTCAGTTGGTAAAAGGATATGTTCTTTTATAGAGCTTATAAGGTCCTAAAATAAAAGTTGTCAACAATTTTCTGAAAAAATGCTTTTATAAGAGTGTTAGATTGTCTAGTTTACAAGTTTTTAGTTATTGATTAAACATGTTAAAAATTTTAAAAAGTTATTAGAAGACTTATAAACTCCTGTTGATCAGAAATAAGCTGCCAAACACCTCAATTTCCCCAGGAAGCAGATACAGAAGAGTAAAGCCCCTTGGATTGCTTTTTTTTTTTTTTTGTGTGAGAAGCAGCTCAGTGCAGAATTCTAACTATGTACAGCTTATGAAGAAGGGGAAAATTATTTTCAATGACTCGCTTTTGTGCCCTAAAGAGGGAGTCCCCAAACCTTCTCTTCCTTTGGTTCTGGGATGCTAGAAGGTCAGGCATCCTGCGGCACCAGGCTGTTCCAGTTCTGCTTGTGTATGAGATTTTTGAGGTCAAAATTTTTAGATCTAAGATAAATGTCTTGTACTCTTATTCCCATCTCTAATTTTTGGGTTATATGGAAAGAGAGGAATAGAAGAGTTTTTGAGGGCATTTGCGCTCCTTTTGATAGGAGATGAAATACTTGTTTTTGTTCTGTAACTATTTTGTTATCAAGGATTTTGATTACACATGACTAGGACCTACCCAACCTACTGTCCAAAGGTGGGCGTCTAACTCTCATTAAAAGCGCTTTGGTTAATCTTCCTGTTTATTACATGTCCCTTATGACTATCTTTGTGAGTGTTGCCAAGAAATAGAAGCTATCCGATGTAGATTTCTTTTGGGCAACTCTAAAGAGTAAAGAAAATGCCATTTGGTGGCATAGGAAGAGGTGAAAAGACCATTGCATCAAGGTGGTATGGGTTTGAGATCTGTTGTAGAGATAAACCAGACTCTCCAAGGAAAGTAGATTTGGTGGTTCATGGTAGAAAATGGCATTCTATTGGAAGAGGGTGATAGAGGGGCGAAATTTGATAAAACAGATGGAGGTTGGTACACGAGAGAGATGACCACATAGGAAGGGGTTGTGGAAAAAAAAAAGCATCAGAAGGCATACTTTTCAGGAATACATCAGGTGGAATGTTAGCAATGAGATGAGAACAAGCTTTTTCTTTTTTTTTTTCTAAGAAAAGTGTGAAGTTCATTGATGTAAGCGCTGGGGGGGGGGGCAAGGGAATGGTATGTGGAGGTAATAAGGAACCTAAACGACTGAGAAGTTGATTAATATGAAACTCTCCTCAATTCACTTGCCTCTGTATTTTTGAATGGGGGTAATGACCAACTGGTTTGGAGCCAACTTTGCAAGGATTTTCACGGTTAGGTCTTTCTACAATTTTTGGACCAAGACTAACCTCATTGAGACCAAGTTCCCTTATCGGGAAATCTGGAAAGTAAATGCCTCTCTCGGAGTGGCCTTCTTTACTTGGGAGGCTGGGCGAGGTTGAATTCTCACTATCAACTAGCTAATAAGGAGATGCAAGATTGTGGTAAATGGTTGTTATCTTTGTAGAAAGGCAGGGGAGATTTCTTTTTTGAAATAAAGATGTGGTATATGTCATTAGATACAAGCACTAAGAGAGTATAACCTGTATATAAAATTATTTATGTCAATAAAAAAGTTGATAACGTCCTGAAAATTCTCCAAAGAATATAGAGGATGATCCATAACTAAAAAACCTAGGATCTGAAACCACCTGTTTCTAACCTTATCTATGTCCTCCTCGATCACCTCAAAAGTCCTCCTGTTTCTTTCTTTACACAACCAAAAAAAAAATAGCAATAGGAATGAGGGCCACATGAGACCTTAAATCCTTCAAAGAATATAGAAGATGATTCATAAAAAGGTAGGGTGTGAAATCACCTGTTCCCCCATTCCCCTTGCTATTCTTTGTGAAAGAAAGAAACAAGAAGATTTTTGAGGGAGTGGAGAAGGATATAGATAGGGTTAAAAACAGGTATTCCACACTCTGGGTATTTTAGTAATAGGTCATCTTCTGTATTTTTTAGAGGATTTTGGGGACGTTATTGATATTTTAATTGACATGTAAATAATTTTATACATGAACTGATACCCTCTAGTTGCTTGTACTTAGTGGCATATTTCATTTTTTATTTAAAAGAAAAGGACTTATGGAACCTGAGGACATTTAACTTTTTGTCCTTTTTAAAGTTCTAATGTAACGAGTAGCGACCCTTTTGGTGCCAGTTAACTATACTTCTTTTTCTCTTAAAAGTTTACTGTAACAAGAAAAATATTAACAAGATACGAACTCTAGTATAATATTGTCGATTTTAATCTTCAAATAAAAATGATGAGAAATGAAAAAGAAAATCAGAATAATTTAATCTTTTTTATATGTGAAAATTGTGATTGAAAGAAAGGAGGGTTTTAAATCTTTTATTGACCACTACATAAATCTCTAATGGTGATTTCCTTCTTCCTTTGTGGGATAAAGAGACAAAGAGAGGCTGCTTTAAGATGCTTGATTGAATCTATCTCACCTGTGACCAAACTTCCACAGAAGCTACTTTTCTTTGTTTTATCAGCTTTGGGCGTCAATTGCCCATTTAAGTATGGACTTTTCATTGTTGATGCTGATGTTAGGCTTTGTTTTTGAAAAATAGTGTGGTAGGCTTTTTATTAGTCTTTTTTTGGTTTTCTTTTTAAGGTGAAAAGAGATATTTCTTGCTTTGCTTATGTTATGTTAACAGAGTAATCATTTTTGTAGTCATGTGTAAATTCCTGAACTTAACTGATTATCTAGTTAAACTCTAAACAGATTTTTCTCAATAATGAACACACTTTGACATCTATCAGGTTAGAACGTCAACACAAAACATGGACAAAGTCCAACAAAGAAATACCTCTAATATTGATGTGTATAGAGTACTCTTTTCAATGTTCTGATACGTCATTCTATACCTTTGCCTTCTGGAGGCCAATTATTTTATGATGTGTGACCTTTTTCTTTTTGATTTTGATGAATCAATTATTTATCTTGATTTTGTATAAAATCTTGTGTTTGTTTCCACAGAGACAAGAGATAACATTTGACTACAACTATGTAAGGGTATTTGGGGCTGCTGCCAAAAAATGCTACTGTGATTCCCCACATTGTCGGGGTTACATAGGTGGTGATCCACTCAATTCTGAAGTAATTGTTCAAGGTGATTCTGATGAAGAATATCCTGAACCTGTAATGCTTGAAGATGATCAACGTAGAGATTCACTGAGGAGACCAATATCTAGAACCCATTCTCCTGATGGTGCTGAATTGCAAGTGACAGTTAACATTAGAAAAGAGAGTGAGAAAATGTTTAATTCCAGAACTACTGTTCAACAAGTGGATAATACCACAGGAATTGAGGATTCTATAGATCGATCTGCATCTGCCAGTTCCCAATTGCTAAGTTCTGTGGAATTGGAGGATTCACAGGGAAAACTTAAATCACCTACTCAACTGGAAGAAGTTTCCCTGCCGACAGAAGATGTAACAAGCAAACCCATAGGTGCTGCCGATCAGCATGGAATTTTGATGGATGTCGAGAAAACAAACAGACTTTCATGTCCTACTCATGCGTTTGAGGTTTCTTGTCCCAGTTCGATGCTTAGCAAATCGTCATCTGATGAAATTGATGCTAGCAAAAAGTCCAAGACATCAGCATTTGAAGACAAGCGAGTTTTGCCAAAATCACATCCTCGTCTGAAAACTTCTAGATCATCTGGTTCTGTTAAGAAAGGAAAAAGTAGTAGCAGTAATTCTACTGACAAAAACAAAGTTCAGGTGATGATGAGCAACAAATCCCAAGTGATACCTTTAAAACCCAGAAAATCAATTGAAGGTTCTTCTGGTGGCCATGTTGAAACAGGTTAGTGTAAATTAATTGATTTCTTTGAGAACTAAAATATCACAAGGTTATTATCCATGGTGGTAAATGTGTTCTAATAATTGCAGTTGAAGAGAAACTCAATGAGCTTCTGGATGCCGATGGAGGAATTAGCAAACGGAAAGTAAGTAACAACTTAATATTTTCCCCAGGTAGTTATCTAGGTTGGGTCTAATAAACAAGGGAGAAAAATGGTGTTGGTTCAATAATCATTAATCTAGCAAAAGAGGCAATATTGTCACAAGTTTCCGCCTTTTACTACGTCTTCTGTTTGGTTTTGTTGTTCTTTCATCATTTTCTGTATATAGCAGGATGTGCCTGTGTAACCTTGAAATTCAGGACAAAACTTGATGTTTCTTATATTAGAGGAAATTCTAGTGTATTTGGTGCTTCGACTATCTCCAGATTTTTCATTTTGTTATTGTCCTGCTCTATATGGCTATTGCCAAGGCCTTCTGTCATTTCATTTGCTCTATCCAGTATCAGTATAACTCTTGTCTTTCTTGTATTTTGACTGGCTTTTATGTCTTGTCTGTGAATCAACATTCCATGCTTCTCATGTGTTTTGTTCGTAAAACAGGAGGCTCCTAAAGGCTACTTGAAGCTTCTGCTTCTCACTGCAGCCTCTGGGGATAGTGGCAGCCGCGAAGCAATTCAAAGGTTGTGTGAGATTTTTCCCTTGGTTGTAGTTCATGGATACCATTATACATTGGTCAACCATGCTATACTCATATTACTTGTCTATTAATTTCTGATTTGATTAGCATATTTATCTTACAGCAATCGAGATCTTTCAATGATCCTTGATGCACTTTTGAAAACAAAATCCCGAGTTGTACTGACTGATATAATCAACAAAAATGGTATGATTTTTCACTTTAATCGTTAGCACTAAATCAACTCCTTCCTTTTTTTAAACCAATGAGTGTATTTTTAGTATTTGCCTCATTTACATTAAAGGACAACTATTGCTTGGATTCCAGGTCTGAGGATGCTACACAATATGATGAAGCAGTACAGAAGGGATTTCAAAAAGATCCCGATACTTCGGAAGCTTCTAAAGGTGCATTACTTGGAAGTTTTTTATATTTGAGTACAGTATGATTCTCAGTTGCTGTTGGGTTGCTTTTAAGTTTTTTGGTTTCCAGTTCTTCAATCATCACATGTAAAAATTTGGTGCCCCTTTCAAGGAACCTAGTTGCATATCATCCCAAAGTAAGTTAGATAGGTCACCCAATGCTCCTGATATATGAAAGGTAAGTGGTTTCTGTAGAATTGCGCAAAAGTGACGGCGAATGAAACTTATGGTAGCATAAACACACCTTGTGTTAGATCACATGCTCATCGCTACATCTGTTCAAAGTCTTGATATTTTAACTATCAACTTGTAATAAAAAGTCTGAAAAGTTTTTGCTTAGAAAACTTCATATTTGCCATGACAAAAGTTCAAAGTATATTGGTAAACTCCCTGTTATGCTGTGAGTGAATGGATATAGCAACACTTTCAGAAGATTGTTACGTGGAATTTTTTTAGATTATAGCATAGGCTCTTCTATTATGTTGCTACTTCTGTATTTGGTCATCTCCTCAACCTTTTATGTTTGGTTGGTGGCATACTGAGACAAATTCATTTTGCTAATAACTATTATAAATTTTTTACATATAGTTCAGATTTTCATGTGTCAGGATGCAATATGGATGGATGTTAGTCATTTTGCCTTAAGCGTGCCTGTGCAGATGCATGCAACTTCATGTGTCTGTATCCATGGTTTATTGAATCGTATAACTGTAACAATCGTTGCAGTAGGAATGTAAATCCATTATTCACTTAGTTTATATTCCATCGGTGTTGTGCACAAGGTTGATTATCTCTAAATAGTCAATTGAAGAATGTAAGATAGATTTCCTGGGAAGTTAATTGTGTTGGTTGGAATTAGGGGCTGAATTGGAGCTTGCTGGCTGGGATCTTTGCAAATGATCATGCAAACTTTCCCTAGGAAATTATTTACTTTTTAATATTCAGAGGATATGACTAACTGTATTTTCTTCAGGTTTTAGAGTACTTGGCATTGGGCGAGATAATTAAATTGGAGCATATTAGTGGAGGTCCTCCTTGTCCTGGAATGGAGAGGTTAGATTAATTACCCAACTTTTCTTTTTCTCTTTGTTTTCCTTCTTTTTTCTTTTCATTTTAATTTCTTGGATGGGTTTTCCGTTTCTTTTTCATTTTGATTTCCTGGATGTGGGGAAATGGAATAGATGCTGTCTTTGAAAATACCTTTCCTATGAAACAGCATAGCACTCTGCGCAAAGAGTCAGCAAACGTTTACAAAGGATCTTATAGTGTGTGCACATTCCTATATATATATAGTTCTATATATAGGGTTTAGACACATTCCTGAAAAGTTTTTTCTCCATGCAGCTTTACAGATTCAATCTTGTCACTGACAGAGCATGATGACAAACAGGTACTTATCCATCTTTTGATGATTTTTCTTTTAAGTTTGAAGTATCATATTGGATTCTTTGCAGAAAAAGGGTGAAAAAATGTATTGCCTAGGAATTTGCTTCGATTTTTTTTTTGTTAAGTACTTCATGCCTTCTTTTCCTCTATTTTTTAAGGTGATTACTGAATGCATTTTATTGCCTAAAGATCTGAGTTATAATATACTTATTTGGAGCCAGGTTCATCAAATTGCAAGGAACTTTCGAGACAGATGGATTCCAAGAGCTTTTAGAAAACATGCTTACATGGACAGAGATGAAGGCAGAATGGAACTTCACAGAGCTCCAAATTACAGCAGGGTTTCAGCATCTCATAATCATTGGCAGGATCAGGGTGTAAGGCCTACAGAAGCAATAGACTGCATCATGCAAATAAAGGCTATAACTTCTGTTGTTAGTGCTCCCGTTCATGATATCTTTCCCGAGTCTTGTGTCAGTGCTTGCCAAAGCAATGGTACCAAAGTACGAAAGCGTAAAAGCCGATGGGATCAACCAGCGGAGAAAAACCCAGATTCAAGTTCTCCTCAGGGCAAGGAACGTAAGATTGAGTCAGGGTTGCCTCAGCAAATTGCATCCAACCAGTTAACAGTTTCAAGTGAGGCAGTACACAGTCGGCTAGCCAATGTGAGCCGAGTTGAGAAGGATGGACCCAGCTGTCATCAGAACTGCTGTCAACAAGATGAACCTATTATTTCTGACAATGGAAGGCAGAATATGCAGGAGGATATCCCACCTGGATTTTCTGCTCCTTCTAACCCACCTCCAGTTTCATCTGCTAATCTTTCCTACCTTAAGTGTCCACCGGATGTGGTTGTTGTGCATCCACAAAAGAAATTTAACTCCCGTTTTTCTGTCTCATATGGAATTCCATTGACTGTTATGCAGCAGTTTGGCTCACCGCATACTGAAATTTCAGGGAGTTGGGCTGTTGCTCCAGGCATGCCTTTTCATCCCTTTCCTCCTTTACCCCCATTTCCTCCTGGGAAGAAAGAGCCTTCAGCTTCTTGTGCTGTTAACTCTGTGACAATCAATGAACATAAAGAAGGTGGACAATGGCTAAGTTGCGGACCTCCAACTTGTCTTGTGGATAACAGGACAAGCACAGCTGTTACCTACCAAGGAGATGTAGATGCTCCAGGTGTCAACACTCGAAGAGCATTTAAGCGAATGAGAGGATCCTCTCAGGACCTGGGAAGGAGGTACTTCAGGCAGCAGAAGTGGAGAGTGCCTCCGTGGATACGGAACGGATTGGGAAGCACTGGAAACAATACAAAAGGTGGGACAGGCAACATAGATGTAGGAAATGTAACAAATCAGCCCAGAGATTCTTTTGTTCACAGGCCATAAGCTGTAGAGTGGAGAATTCTGGCTATAATTCTCATCAAAAGAACTAAATCCAACATTGATTTATAGAAAAAGAAATTTACCCCATAGTTTGAATGTATCCTCGTTTCTTTCCTGGGTTTAATCTTAGTTAAAAATTAGATCCAGTTTCAGGGTTACAGTCCCTGTGCCTCAGGTGCTATTTTGGTGAGGGAAGGAAGGAAGGCGCTTCAATTTGGCCGTATGCTATTGTGGATATTGAAACATTCATTCGCCTCAAAGAGGTAGGTTTTCTTTTGTATCATCTTGTATTAGAACATTTCAAGGGCTTAGGATCATTGGAATAAACATTGGTCAACATTTTGGCCAGTTCACCATATTTTTTAATTTATACCATGATTTTGGAAAATAATTTGTATATGCAGATTTTTCTTTTACATTTAGTTGGAGTATTTGCAAATTGAGCTATAATCTGTAGCTTTACTTGCAGAAACTAAAAGCTTCTTTGATTTAATTGGCTAGAGCCTAAATCGTTTTTGGTAACTTTTCTCTTATATACATATATATTATACTTTTGACAACAATATATATAACTGTATAATAAAACTGTTTACATAAAAACGAAATCTTTTGTATGTACTGTTTTTATAAATATAACTCTTTATAATATGTATAACTATTTAAGCAAAAACAGTTTATACATATATACAAAAAGTTCATATGTATATATATATATATATGTGTATGTGTGATTGCTTAAAGAGACTGTTATTACTGTTGACACTTGAAATCTGTTTCCAAAAGATATGTATATCATTCAATTCTTTCTTTTAGATATAACATAAAACATATGTTATTAATTAGATCACACATGCATATTTTAATCATAATAAAACTTTATATTGAAAACATACAGTATGCTTCCAACTGACAATAAAAAAGAAAAAATACTAATTATTCAACCAATAAATAAATACTTAAAAGCAGTAAATGACATGTTTAGTTACATATAACTTTACTATGGGAGTAGACTGTAAATTACAAAAATAACCTTTACAATGCCTGATACATAAATATCCCCTCCCATTACTTTTCCTTGAGTTAGTTTTCAAGCATTTTACTTTTGAAGCTTTTCAATTAAAATTCCTTAGTGAGATTGTCAAGAAAGCATGACATGGGAATGCCCTGACATGTAACATGAAAAATTAAATCACACGAGTAGTAGACTTTGAAAAAGATAGAATCATTCACTTTGACCTAAGTTGCAGATTAACAAAGGAAACATAAGATATTATTGTTTTGTTAATGATAAAACCAAGGATTGCATTGGCATTCTTGTATTAAGGAGACCTTCAAGAATCCAAAGAACAAGGTATTTTCCAGGGAAATCATGATTTCTGGAGAGTAAAAAATTATATGTAACAATTTTATGGAGTAAGGAGAAGTTATATATGATTCCTCATCAATATCTCTTAAGCATACAACGGATATGAACAAACAACCAGGTTTTTATTAGTGTCTTGTACTTTCTCCAGCCATTGAAGTACTTGCCAATCACCTTTTTGTAACTAGGCCTCTGTTGCACCAACGTCCAATACTCTGAGATGTTTGGCCTGTTGCTTATGTACTCGTCTTTCATATCCAGAAGCACTAAGCGAGCCAGCACTGGAATGAGCATCAAGTCTGCCTTCGTGAACTCTTCCCCTGCTAAATACGCTGTTTCATTCAGCTTCCTTTCCACTTCATCAAGGAGTCTAACCAAATGTTCTTTGCTCCTCCTCAACACCTCGGGATCTTTCAGTTTATCCTCCATTTCGTATGCCTCTCTTAGCTTTCGATGGTATGCACTTGCTAGGTCAGGAGATTCAGCCATCCGAGCAATCACTACCCGCCTCAAGAACTTAGAAACAAATATGCGATGCTTCTCAGGGATGTGGTAAATTGTGAAAATCTTGGGTTCCCACTCTCTTATCTTATGCATCCATTCAACAACTTCTCTGCTACTAACACTGACATCATCTGCACCAGAAGAGATCACAGCGATTCTTTCGATATATCTGCAAATTAGGTACCACTTTAAATTCTCCTCTCATCAATTACAAAACCTCTTTTTGTAAACAAATTTAAATCATGAATGTCCTCACATTGCTGTTGATGATAGTAAATGCCTTAATAGTCACTGAATGCAAGTGAGGTAGAATCCCAGATTGCAGATAGAAAAAGAAAAGTAAAAGAAAAAGATATAGCCTTCTTGCGGATGTTAGAAAGTGTTCAAGCCTGAATTTGCTTCATATGCATCTTAACTTCCTATCTATGCTCACTAAGAAAAATTAAAAGAAGGTCAGACATACTCTATTATCTCAATTGCATCGAAGATGATGGTCGAACCATTCTGGAAAACAGGGAGTTTTGCATTTGGATTCATTTTAAAGAAGGAGGAGTCCATGTGCTTGCCTGTAATAGGGTTGACATGGTATGATGTGTAGTCAATGCCTTTCTCTTCCAAAGCAAGTCTCACCCTTTGGCTGTCCAAAGAATATGGGTGATGGTATAGCTGCATATCTTTGAAGATCAAAAGTTACCAGTAATGGGAAAAGTAGAGGACTGTCGGTTTTGGGTGTAGTTGACAAATGAATTGCCCAAAAGAAAAGAGTAAGAATCCTGCAAAGTTAAGGGCTCTTCTCATAACCGATATAACAGGAAAGAACTTGAAGCAAATATTCGTTTAGATTAATGGATGAAATCGTATGCAAAGGTGACACTATATAATCATTTAAACTCAAAATCAAGACAAAATCCTGCAGTGCTAATAAGCATGAAAATACAAATTAACTTATCATCATCCATCAATATCAGATTCCAACATTGGCAATTCAAAGAACAATGGCATTCCCTCCAGGTTTAGAATTGAGACCAATAACTCAGGAATAAAGAATCCCAGGTTCTACCCAAAAAAAAACCCATCACAATAATTCAATTGAAACAAAAAAGTGCAGAAAATAAAATTTGAGATTCTAAAATTATGAAATACTCAAATGGCACGGGCTTTCATTAAATGAATTCAAAAGGGATAAATGCCGACAACAATTTTAACTTACTTAAAATTCTAACTAAAACAGATTAAGTGGGATCAATTCGAAGTTCCTAAAGTTGAAAAGAACTAACAATATATATATATATATATAGAGAGAGAGAGAGAGAGAGAGAGAGAAAATCATGAAAAGAAAAACCCAAACAAATTCTAACACTAACTACACTAGGAAGTTTCTAGCAAAAAAAAAGAAAAAGTAGAGATGAAATCTATGATTAAACAAACAGTTGAGAACCAGTAAAGAACCGACATAAAAGAGAAAGCACGACGACCCATCTGGTAAAAGAAACAGTTAAAAGTATAAACAGAGAGACTTACCCAGAAAGTTGAATTGAAGAAAGACAGAGGGCTTCAGGGATTTGCGCAGGCAAATAGAAAGAAACCCTCCTTCCTTATATTGCATATTAAATAAAAGTATGCGTAAAGGTAAAACCTACAGTGGAAGGAGAACGAGTGGATCCAAATTGGAAAGTGCTGAAATTTTTCAAGTTGGTAACTTCCCTGACTGGACTGAGAGGAATCTACCCATACGATCGCGCGCAGGCTTACTTGCTTCGCGATTCGCACTCAACGTACTCGCTCGCTTCACTTGACACGTGTCCAGCATCTCTTAGTCGCCACTTTCCACATCTTCAGAGAGAAAAAAAAAAATCTCCGAATATATAAATTAATTACTTACCACTTTAATTTAAACCCCATGAATAGATTAGAAGAGCCTTATTGGGGGATATTAGGTTCAAATTATGTTAATATTCGAAATTAAATCGTAATCATTCTAAATAATTGCAATTAATTAGGTAATTTGAATTCTAATTTCGACGTTGTTCTTGATTGGCCGACTTAATTAAGTTTGATTAACCTCAAATTAGTTCCATTGCAAAAGGTGCGATATAAAAAATGGAGGTCTGACGTGTCATTAAGCAACTGCCACCACTAGATTCGCGCATGTCAACAACCAACTCTTCTTAAAACTGTCATGGGCCCCACATCATGGTTTTAGACATATTTTTAATAGTTAAAAAATTATAATTATAAGTAAAATAGCTTTTTAATTAATACAAGCTCTAAGCATTTTAGCAAAAATTATATACATATATATATATATATTTATTTACCTTAATTTGATAAAATAAGAGCTTTGAAAATAAATGATAAATTTTATGTTAACAAGTTTTCTTACAACTAATAATATGTGGGGGGAAACAATTATTGTTATTATAGTCGATAATAATTTATATTGTCGATAATTATCTATCCTGATGTGAGATATAATAGGTCTCGCGTACTTATTTAATTATTTAAAAAGTTATAAAATTAAAAAAAAAGTAATAAAAAAAATCTTTTTCTTCTATTATTTCAAAAGATCAACGAAGAAGGCATTAAAAAATTAGTATTTTTAGTGTTCATGGAGAGGGAACAAGACAAATTTTTTTTCGTTTGATATTTTTAAGAAAAAAATAATAATATTAATTAAATATTTTCAAAAATAATTAATATCTAAATAGAATAACTTTATTTATTAATAATAAAATTAATACTTATTGTATTGATAATTGTCATCTCATTCATTAAATATATATATACATTAATAATAATTTATTCTGTTATTTAAATAAGATGTTATATGAACATAATTATTGTTCTAAATTTAATTAAATACTAATTTAATAATCCGTTCGAACTATTTGATATGAAATTGGTTAATAATTTAATTTAAGAAAATATATATATATAAATACACACACATAACTACTTGGTGAAAGAATTATTGTAATTCATTTTATACTAAACTCTTTTTATGAAATTAACATGTTTGAATTATTTAAGATATAAAAAATATTCAAGTGTCTTAAATATAATAAAATATGATGAAATAAATTAGTAAAATTATAGATAATATTAAAATTACACTTGTATTTTTGTATTTTATATTTTATATTTTAATCGTGTTAATGTGCAATTCAAATTATGACCTTGTAATTAAATAACATTTTCAATTAATTTTAGGAAAAAAAAATCTCATTTTTAATTAAATATAATATTAATTATATTGAAAAAAATCAGCCGAAAAGAAAAAGATGGTATGGTTCATCCTCGAGTCTACGGTCTTGGTGTTGGACCCGTTATGGGCCGTGTCAACTCGGTCTCGTTTTCAACTCAAACCGACTTGTATTACTGGAAAATACCAACCGTTTGATTGTCTTACCCAAAGAAACGACCGCCTTAATTAATACAAACAGACGGCTCTGATGAAGAAGGAAACGACCGTCTGATTGAATTCATAATTCTTTCCACATACGAGCGCACCCCGTTGCAACGGGAACATTAATAAAATCAACTCTTCCCCTCTTACGGTCTTTTTCCCCTGAGTTTCGGGCTTCTTTCCCGGCTGAGCATCGGCCGTATCGGATTTTTTCCAGCTTACCCGAAACAACATGGCCGACACTCCGTCGCGGGCACCCATTTCCACCGTATCAGACCCAGATGCGACTCAGTATTGGTGTTACCACTGCAACAAACGGGTCTCCGTCGAAACCCTAGCCAATCAACCTGACGTAATTTGCTGTGAATGTAAGAACGGCTTCGTTGAATCAATCCAATCGATTCCGGCTGCGTCTTCGGCTCCGCCATCACTGTCTCCAGATCGGGCGGATGATCCGTCTTTTGGCTCCCAGTTCCTTCAGGTGCTTCGCTTACTTGCACAGGCAGCGCGTGACGAGGACGCGTCGCCTCCGCCGCCTCAGGATCCCCAATCCGAAGACGATTTTTTGAGAATCGAGCTTAATGGATGGGACAACGATGAAGAAGAAGAAGAAGAAGAAGAAGAAGAAGAGGACGAGGACGAAGACGAAGAAGAGGATGCCAACCAGAACGACGAGAACAGAGGCGACCAGCAAGTAAATGGGGACGGAGAAGGAGGACATGATCGATCTGATAACGAGAATGAAAACGAAGAGAACAGAGACGATGACGATGACGATGATGAAGAGGATTTGAGGAGAAGGCGGCGCGACGTGCTCCGACTCCGGATCCGGGACTTCGCTACCCGAGCGAGGAGCGGGCGAAACCGGATCCTGGACTGGGCTGAGATCTTGATGGGACTGGAAGACAACTCGATTGAGTTCCGTCTCGAGGTGCCGGAGTCGGACCGTTATATAGGCAATCCAGAGGACTATGTGGACGCGGCAGGATATGAGGAACTCCTGCAGAACTTGGCGGAGAGTGACGGTGGCAGGAGAGGGGCTCCACCAGCTGCTAAATTGGCTATATCGGCCCTGCCGACGGTGGAGATTGCAACGGAGGCGGACAGCTTGGTGTGCGCTATATGTAAGGACATGGTTAGTTTCGGCGAAATGGTGAAGAAGTTGCCGTGTGGACATGGGTACCATGAGGATTGCATCGTGCCATGGTTGGGCACGAGGAACTCTTGCCCAGTTTGTAGGTTCGAGCTGCCAACGGATGATCAGGAGTACGAAGAGGAGAAGAACAGGAGAGCCAAGGTGCCTGTCGGTGGTGCTTCTAGTTCCGGTGAGGAGAACTCGAGCTCAGGTTGACTGTGAAATTGGAATGGGTACTTCCGAATTATATGCCTTTTCATTTTTCAAAAGCACAAAAACAAAAAACTTTTATCTCCAGCTTTCCGTTCCAAGTTTAAATTGTTGATGGACTTTTGGTTGCTTAATTACTTGTGGCTGAAGAAGTGAGCTTCGTCTCTACTTGCCTATGAATGTAAATAATATTTACTCCCTTTTGGACTTTGTTGACTGCTTGGTTTCAAATTGTTTCCATACCCGTATGTACAGTTGGACTGAAACTTCAGGAAATTGAAGTGAAAGTTGTTCCTTTTCATGATTTGGTAATCGTTGCCGTAGGTTGTAAGGCCAGAGTAGTGGTACTTGTATGGAATGTGTGGTATTTGTCTAGTTTAATAAAAAATTTTGTTTGATAAAGTTCTTTAGTATTTCTTTTTGGTTCAAGCTTTCTGAGATGCTGTACTATTCTTAGCCCTATAATGTAAGCATGGTTTATGAAGAGACAATGAATCTTAATACATTTTCTATTTGATTTACTTTTTTGCATATTTCACGAGAAAGTGAAGGAAAATGGGAACAGAAAAAGATACCTAGGAGATATTTTTGCAGCTTTTGTTAAGGTTTTCTATATTTTTGCTGTTGTTAGGATTTTGCTTTTTCCGTCTTGTGGATAAGTAGTTCTTTTTTTTTTTCAAAAAAAAAATTGGAAATCATGATTGGATTGACTATTTATGAGGTTCCTTGTGTTTGCATATTATAGCCTGCTGTTGTTAGTGGTGCCACTATTTATTATAATCAATCAGTTGTCGGTACTTGTAGTTTTATGTGGTGTGACCCCACTTGATTAGCAGTTGTGTCTACATTTTAGTTTCCTTTGTCGTGAGAAATACGCAGTTTTTTCACCAGATGATGCTGGACAAAATAGGAGTTTTCTAATCCTAGAATTGGATGAAATTTAAACGACTCAAGGAAAGGAGAAGTTTCAGAATGAAAGATTGATATTTTTCTTGTTTGGATAACTCAGAAATAAGAAAGTAAGAAAAAAGATAGATTTTGGTAAGGTTTTGTTTAGTTTACTTGTATAAACAAACAGAAAGAATTAATTATAAGAATATTGCTCGATGATAAAGTAATAGAATGACAAGCTGATAGTTAAAAATAAAAACAATAAGTTGTTAAAACTTCTGACTCTTTTCCTTCTCGTTTTCCCAATTTGAGAGAATGAGGAAACTGAAGTTTAAAAGCAGAAGTTAGTGATGCTTCCTTCAATTTCCTCGCTCATTTTATGTTTTGTTCAAATAAGTAAAACATTGGTGACTGCTTTTGTTCAAATAAGTAAAACATTGGTGAGTGTTTCATTTGTTTTTGGGGTAGTTTTTCTCTCCCCTAAATCTGACATAGAGTAAAAGCTACAGGGTGCTTTGTTATTATTTTCTTTTAATTTAGGTTGATTAAAGAACTGCTTGAATTTAGGATTTTTTAGGATTAACTTTTCTTTTTCGATGGGAGTACTTCTATACATTAATGTGTCTTATTCAGGATTTGCATATATTGAAAAAGAGGAAGAACATTGTAATTTGCAGTGTTCATTTGAGATTTAATACAACTAAAGTAGAGAAGTTTCTCTCCAGATTCATGGTTAGCATCCAAAAGAATCAAGTCAGTTGTTTGATTAAGTTAACAATTACTGATCTGTTTTCTTTCACTCTGTACTTTTGTTTTGTGAAATTGATATTAGAACTTAAAACAAAAATTGCTACAAGTAAAGCAAGAGTCCCTGGGTAACTTAGCCCCATAGACTTTTTAGATGCAAATAAAAGGAGCTCAACTTAGGCAAGGATAACCTCCATGCATAGACAATATGGAGTGGAAAATGGAATTCTTGGAGGAGTCTGTGATCCCCTAGGCATAGTGGAAGACGGTGTGTGATGATTTTTCAAATTTGATGATTGAGTATTGTGGTTGTGCAAATTATGCTCATATACTCGAAGCACTAGTTGTAACTCTAATTGTAAATTTTACTCACGAAGAAGTCATAGTACAAAATTCTTTTACAAGTGATTGACTAGTATTGATGTCACTTTGTGCAGTCTAAACTGCTTTTGAAGTTTGGTCATCGAAAAATTCAGATTGATCAGATGAAGAAATTGAGGTTTGCTTCTATTTGTTCTTGTTAGTGTAAATATGAACCACTATTATTTACTGCCTATTTCTGTTGTTTTGTACTCATATTATCATCAAATGTAAGGCTAGTATACTTGTTAATCTAGCCATGTAGGCAAGCTAACTCTAGTGACAGACTATTAAAATTATTGTTTTCTCCAATCAGATGCTTACATTTTAGTGCTTCAGAATTTTTGGTGGGATAGAGGTGCGGAAAAGATATACTTGTGATATCTCTATTTTCAAAACTTGTGCTCTTTTATATTTTTATAGTAGCTTTAGATGATAGAATGAAAAGCCTTTTTGATAATGTTGATGACTGAAGATGTTATGCCACCATGTTTGATTTGTGATATAGGATATTTCTTTGTAGATTTTGTTCATGTTGTCCATTTTGTCCATGACATCTCTGTTACAAATTTATTAGGTCTATAACATACTGCAGTTGTTTGAATTTCATTTTGGTTACTACTTTTAATTCTTATGTAAATCCTAATATGCATGCTTAGAATATAATTTGTTGTCTTTGAGTTATTAACTTTGTCTCAAGTTTTTTGATGGTAGTAACTCAAATGCAATAAAGTTCCACATAATTTACCAAATTAGTCGTTGAGATTTGATATTTGTTACAGTTTGATTTATAATATTTTTCTTGGTTACAATTTGATCTATAATGCTTTCTATTTGTTTTAAAGATTTAGTTTTCTTGCATTTTTTAATGGAAAAAACTAAAATGATTAAACTATCTTCAGACACTTTAAGAAGTAGTTCAAAAGGTCTTTAATTAATTAATTAAATTAATAAATTAATAATAATTAGAAATAAGCCTAATATTATTATTAATTTATTAATGTAATTGATTAGTTTAAGTCATTCTTTTGAGTTGTTTTTTAAAATTTTGAAATATGATTTAATCATTTTTAAGTTTCCATTTAAAAATTGAAAGAAATTGGATGTTTGAGACAAATGAAGAACTTCAGAACCAAATTTTAAAGAAAGAAATATTAAGAGTCAAATTGTTATTAGTGTCAAACTTTGGGACTAATTTGGTAAATTTTTCTTAAATTGTAGAATTATATTCTACAAGTGCATATAAGACTAATAAGAACTGTGAATTGACCAGAACTTAATCGAGAAAGGAACCAAAAGCAATTGAAAACAGCAAATTGATACATTTTGTGCCATATGCATGTGAATGTATAAATACAGAATTGTAACACATGATTGCAGCATGCTAGCTTGCATGGTTTGGTAAAAGGTGCTCTAATTGTTTGTGTGTGTTCAATTATGAGGTAAAGTTACTCTGATGGACTATTTTGTAAATGGTCCTTCGAACATAAGATTTAATGAAAAGGTTTGGATCCTTACAATAATGCTACCGCTCCTGAGGTCTCTTTCATTATCGCACCTAGAAGTACCAATCTATGTTAATCAGCTTTACATGGGCACACTACAGGGATACATGTGTGTGAAGTTGCTACTCTCTGAACAGGTAGCTCTTGTGAATGAGGGAGGAGGTTTTTGTGACAGGGTATCTGTTTCTGCAGGTAGTTGTGCTCAGTTTTCCATTGAATCTCGAATCAGTTAATGGCTTTAGTCAGAATTTCGACTACAGAAGCATACATTTGGATTTAGCTAATAGAATCAGGTCTTCTTGAATATAATTTTCAGTGTCAAACTGATAGTACGGCAATGATGCCTGGATATTTGTGGTCGAAGAAGAGAGCTAGAAAATAGTTTGATGTTGTGTAATGAGCATTTGGCAAATGAAATTCTAAATGGGAACGGTTCAAATAGATGGAACTGTTTTCAGGTAAAATCCTGAAGTGATGATTCAAGTTTCTGGCACAACTCAATTTATCTGATAGTTGGGCAATCATGGGTAAAGTTTTTATTTGTAAATTTATGCGGCCAATCTTCGTCTCACCAGCCATTGAAAGGAGGATTGCAAATTGTGGAAATGCGAGAGGGGACGTTTGAAAGTCGCCCACAACCACATCAAGCAGTGGGATGGGTGAGAGACATGACAACCAAAAAGGTGAGAGAAATACTCCGTAACATTCCAACTGTGACTTCTCGTGGTTAAGTTGTTGGCACTTGGCAGCCAAGCCCAGTCGCTCAAGTTTGGTTTCACTCGTCTACAGACCGAAAGAAAGTTCAATTTAAAGATTTGCAACCTTTTCATTTACATATTAAATATATTTTTACATATCTATATTTTATATTTTGCATATATATTATCATACAATACACAATTTATTTCAATCTTAAACCATGGCAACGTATATGGTAGGGTTAATTTATGTTTTCACGGAGTTTAAATAACAAAAAACTTCAAATTTTGAAATTAACAATAAAAAACGAAGACAATTTTTCTTCTAACTCGAAACAAAAATCTCGTTCAGCACCGGATTGGGTGGGTAGATAATCAGAGAACGAGAACTTCATCTCTAAAATATTTGACCAAACCCCAAGTATCCAAAAAATCGACTCAGGTTCGCTCTCCAGCCTTGCCATTCTTCTGGAACAAATTTGTTCTCTCTTTTTCATCATAATCTCGCTAGTTTCAGCGAGAAAATTTATAAACAGGAACAGAGGTTTTACTTGTGTTCAGCTGTCAATTCTTAAGTTACTGTCGAACAGGGGCTGTCCAAAAGAGGGAACAAAGAGGGGGAAGCAAAGAAGGTCGGGGAAGGGGCTTGAGCAATATGACATCCAGCACAAGCACAGGCCAAAATGAAGAAACAATTCCTTAAAAATTTCTGTGATATATTAGGAAGACAAATTACAGCTACATGTACCAGTACTTCTATAGTTGCAATGGCCCCCTATAAGACACTGGAAAGGAAATAAGAAAATAACACAAAATTAAAACAATTAAACCTAATTTCTTTTTCTTCAGCAATTAATCTCATGAATCATATCACATCACAACTCCCCCTGTTTTATTCAGTTTAGATTCCCCTCCCAATCTTGTCAATAGGCTCATTTACTCTTTATGGACCATCTTCCGCAGTTGCAATCAGGTCAACTTGATGCATTTATGAACTTGATCTTGAGAGGAGAACAAGCCATGAGTGTTCTATTTCCATGGAGGCTGTTGATGATGCCTGTAGCCATATGCGTATGACTCCCACCCAGCATCTGGTTCTTTCCTTTTCCCACCAACGGAACTTGAGGAAGCCTGTGAGCTAACTCTCAAATGGTCCTCCATCGACCTGCTTTGGCCAGCCATGAAAAGATGCCTCAACTCCCAGGTTCCCTACTTCCTCCCTCAACTGCAAACCCAAGTATTGAGATCAAGCTAGGCCG